GCAAAAACATGTCACAACTCTCTGAATACATGTCACTGATACAAAAAAATATTAAACAGTTGATTTTAAAAGTAAAGTAATTATGTCGTAAGCCTTTCAGAAAAAATGTCCCTATAATGCGGTTGATATATTATACCATCCATATACCACCATAGGTTGATCAAATATTAGCACAAATCTGCCGTACAAAGCAAATATCACCATATCCATGTTAAAATAATGTAAATGTTATGTTATTTGTTATTTACACAGTTCTTATTTTCATTTTGAAGAGGAACTGCTGCTGCAATCCCGACAGAATACACATTGCATAAGATGATGGATGATATTTGTTAAAGGCACAAATAACATAGCTAACAGAAAATGTATTTCGAACATGTCTACACTCGTTTAATGTTCATTAAATATTTTTTTTCGCCGTTTTATGACACACCGGAAGACAAATATTATGTACATATTTGCATCGGTGATTCAAATTTCAAACAAGCATATCATTTACACGTATCTCATCATTAGAGGTCGCACCCCTAATACATGTCATGCAAATTTGCACTGGCTAGTGTTTGTCGACAATTCACACTTTCACGCCGATGTAGTCTCTCAGTGCACGGCTGACATTATTTCAAGATCTAACATTATTGGCATGTACAATGAAAACATTTTGTATAGAAAATACATTAAAAAATTGCAACTCGGTCGTCTGAGATGAACTAATACAGCCACACTTTCACTGAACATACACACAAATCACGACAAACGTCATATTGTACGAGCTGGCATTTATATTGAATACAATCAACGGCGGGATACAACTGAATAAAGTTAATAAACCCTTTGTTGCTGTGAATGTATTTTTGTTGTACTTTGGACACAAGAAAACTTTGAAGTATTTAATTCGAACTAGTGTAGGGCACATTTTTTTCATGTGTGATCCAAAAATACGAGACTACCCCTATTTTCTATGTACAGGATTAAAATACAGACTTCTTGTAATTACCATCGCGAAAGACTTGACGTTAATCCTCTCAGGATGAACCAACGTACTATGGTTAAACCTCCCAATCAAACGAATTTGGCTTACATCGGGCAAAAATACGCAGGTGCGAAAATGCATATGATCATTCATTCTCCCACGTCTCATGACGTTAGCGGAGCTTCTACATTTGTCAGTTGTAAACATTCAGGTAATAAACTTTGTAGTTCATTCGGAAATACAGGTATTGCATTAGCTGACACTTGACTGTTACAAGTGTCATTGTTCGTTATTCAAATTATAAACCATTAGTCTACAACAAAACTTTTAACAGTATATATACATCTCAGTCAAATATACTTCCCAACTATTTTATTTCTACTTGTGCGCCCAAACATTATATTTATTACCTATAATGTGACAATCAACTGACTGATGGAATCATTTTATATTTATAAATCTAATTATTTCATACAGCAGAAAAACAACCTTTATTAGCTTCACTTTATTGAAAACAAAAGGAATTAAATATAATGCAATATTATAAATAAAAACCGGGGCAAACACTATCATATATATCAAAATGAGGGGTTGCTGTCGGGTATCAATTTAATATTCTGTAACTTGCAAGTGCAATGTTCACCTTAATATCGTTGTTAGTAAATAAAATAAATTAAATTAAATTACAGATGTTTCACGTTTAGTATTAAGTGTAATTAAGAGTTTAGTGAGTCGGGCGGCGTTAATGATTACATGATTTGTTGATCAATGTATCATCGTGACTATAAATGCGTAAGCTTAGAACATGATAAATTTGGGGGATTACAAGTTTGCTTGGGTAGGTAAGCAGAGAGAATGGTTGGTCTTATTTGCAGAGTTCCACGACATTGAATAACTCAAGAATATTTACGCACATATATATATATATATATATATATATATCAGGAGTCTTCGAGTTTTTACGTTATTTAATGTGTACGTTGCTAAAATTAGTGTCTTACTGCGGAGAGCAAAATGGTATTCCCATTTTGTTTAATCCACAGACTACATCTCACACATGACATTTGCCATTTAAGGTTGTCGATAATTTGTTTTTATTGGGACCGTTACGTAATAGTAATAGTAATAATAACTTAAGAATAAAATTGTATCATTCCTGTGAATAACTGTGTATTATCAATTGTTGACAATGAATAAATCATAAATGTTGAACAACATGTTATTTTCACACATAAAATAAATTAAAGAGTCTTGAATCGCATCTCAAATGTGTTTCCTTTCAGTAGAAAGAAAACTGTGTTTCTGTATTCATGGCTTCATAATGTAGATGCTGGATGATTTGCTTTTTGTTGAAGTTTTCCTTTGTAATGGCAGTAAAGCACTTCACATTCGTTTGATTTGTGCTGCAAATGAATATCTGTTTCGAAGACCATCTTGTGATGTGTCCCGTGACGTTGACCGCTTTAATAGTTCCAAAAGTATCTAAACATATAGATAAGCTTGATCAGAAATTTGGTCAGTCCAGCAATGTGTTAGTGAATCCAATTACACTAAATGTATTTATTTATTTGGTAATTTAATATAATGTGGTGTACGTTATTTAAATGAAGTAACAAGATATTAAAAATCTCCAAACTAAGTTATTATAATATAATATATATTATTATAATTTCTTTGTGTATAGTTTCGTTTTGTTTTTTTAAATGACAATAACATCATTGTTTGTAATAGTATTAAATAAGGTACGACCTTTTTGTAGTTGTGTTTATAGTATATTGATACATCCAATCCTATTGGCACCCTTTTTATTTGTGGAATAACGCTGTAAATCCACTGTGTTAAAAGGGCCTAACATTTTAGGCCGTAAAACGACAGGAGACAGTATGAAATGGCAACTATTATGTTAATGAATAAACTTAATAAAAACTGTTAAATATAATGAACACTTGTTTTAAAACGCAATTATGTTAGACGAGCAGTTATGTTAGGAGGAACGAACGTGAATCAAGAACTGGACAATAAGGTGTTAAAGTGAATGTAGGTTTGACTAGTAACACTGAGTGTAAACTGTGCAGTTTCAATGTGTCGGAGAACTAAATATACTATCTAATGTATATAAATTGGTTAGCGAAATAGGAATATACCTCCAAAAGGAATATTGTAGGGAGGTAATTAAACTGCGTTTAAATGACGAAATCGCTAAGATATAATTATTACCATGGAACAGATGTAGCTAAGTGGTTTTATTTTTATTGGCATAACAATGCTACATGGGATAGTACAATATCAATGACCAGGCATGTATCAATGTTATAACAGTTGCTTCTGTGGTGTACGAAGGTTTAGGCATTTGTTGGGGGGGGGGATTGTTGCTTCCTGGAATATTGTAATTATAAATCAACAGAAGGTGGCGCCAACAACGGGGTTACTTTATACAGTATATCTAGATTGGTAGTAAATAAATAACGCTCCATTGTGCTTATAACATAGTTGTGTTTTATTGAACGTAGCCATATTGTATTCATAATACGATTTCCACAGTGGGTGTTGCACTCATAAATATGCAAAATATATTTAATATACTTGGAATCGTTTAATATATAACACTACACTGTCACCTCAACAATGACAGCGCACTTCTGTATCGAGATATTATAGACAAAGCATCAGTTAATGGCAGCCTGGCAATTGGCTAAATATTAACAATGTATATATATTATAATAATGGTAATAATTCAAATGAAGGTAATATGATGACAAAGTGAAATTTCTCCAATTTCTGTTTTTCTTCCAAATATATCTTCGGTGGTTACTTTGTTCGTTTCTTCCTATATATTCATTCACATATGCAATTTAAAAACACATGGATAATTTATTGTTACTGATATCATATGTGCGCCATTAATTCGATACTATACTAATGTCGAGTATTGACGGCAAACATTTACCCACACACATGACAAATACCATATGGTTATGACGTAATCGTCAGTGCATGATATGAACTACAACCTGGTCAATGCGGTCATTACACCCAGATAATTTGAGTATATTTGTTCTTGGACTGCATGTGTGTGTGACATAAACATATATAAAACAAGGAAAACGAAATAAACGGAACGTAATGCATTATACAGTACGTCGCAGTTGTGGCGAGACGCTTACGTGTTTACAGCGAGACAATAAATTACGCACGCGTTAACGATTGTATAAATCGCACATGTATACACACATGGAGTGTGATGATACGCATGCGTATTCGAAGAATATACACGTATATACACCCTCTAAATGCTTTTCACATCTATGATATTAGCAACACTAGGTGTACATTAGTTATTGCATGACATGAACAACGGTTGTGATATGTACATATATCCGATATGTATATATCACGCCCTTTGTAAAGCGCGGTCTGTAATATGTGATTCATACGTATGGTATTTGAGATCAAAGGTTTATGATTGAGATAAACGTGTGTGCATCTAAAGTGCATCCCATCTAATGAATCCTTATTTTGACTTTGTTTATATACCAACCAAAGCTGTTTTTCTACTCCCTCAAACGTCTGTTCACGCCATCGTACACATGTTTTTTTTTCATTTCCAAGACAGCTAATAAAATAAACCACGACCGTTACTGTATAGAACGAATGAATGAATGAATGAATGAATTTTATTGTAAACGAATCCTAATTAAGAGCCTTGATTGAAGTGGAATAGGATATAAACAGCGAGTAAAATGAACATGTCGTTCCCTTTGCTGCATTTTAGATTTTGGACTGTTTTCTTCTTCATGTAGTTAAGATGCAGTCTATGATTCGCTATTCAATATATATGGCTGCATTTGTTCAATACAAACCTATGCTATATTCGACTCTAATCCAAAGTATTTCCCATTATGTTTTATCAGTATATCTGATGATCACACTTGCGTTTCATGAGCTTTTATACAACACAATAATTGAATTTAATAGATGCCATCGTAGTCGACTCTTCCACTCACAGATCATTTTCATTCATTGCAGAGCTGTAGCCATTGATGCTGAAGCCACGAGAGTTTTTGGAATGGTGAGTAGAACGTTACCAAGACGACGACCAATTATTATTCTCTTAATTGAAGCGATGAAGGTTTTTGCTTGAACCCCCGAGGTAGCATCATTAAGCGTGTCATCATTGTGTACGAGTTGACCATAGCAGAACGCTGATTTGCCCTTTGATTTCGTATTGTTATTACCGATGTTGTAGTAATGGGATATATTTGATAGACATTGAAAAGACCCGAAAGCAACGTGATGTCTTTTCTATTTCATTATTTGTAGAAGTTGAATGTTAAAGAATTGATACGTACATTGACAGAGCACATGCCATCAATGTCGTTCTTGACGTTCACGGGGGGGGGGTCAAATCGGGACATATACCAACTTGTGTATCTATCATAATGCAGTTTTAAAGGAAAAATACATTTAAAAAGACCTCACCAACTAGTGCTGGAATTGTCGTAATTACATCAAAAATCACGCACACTCTCAAAGAATATATTGTTGTTCAACATAGCAAAAACATTAACATCACATCGAGGTGAATTGTATTGAAAAGTATTGTTAATAAAAAAAAATGTCAAATAAAATCCCCAAACGTTCTGACCATATACATGGGAATATATTGATATTCATCTCAACATGAGATGTATTAAATACAAATGAAAAATTATTAGAATAAATTACATTTTTCATTTTCAAGTGTGCACACCTAGCCATAATTTGATCCGCCTTTGAATCACTTTAATATGTATAGCGCCAAAGGCGATAATACACTCTTCAAAAGTCTTTTACTGTAGTCATGGAAACTGATATGCTTTCTCTGTTTATTCAGCTGGTATTTGAATATCCTTTTGCAAAACACTAAAGCACTGTAGACTTACCATACGGTTATACCGTAATGACAAGACCTCGATCGATTATCACTCATGTGTTGTGGCGTGCCTTTGGAATGTTATTCGTTTTTCGCATCGCTTGACTGACTGACTGACTTCAATTAATAAACATCTAATAATTACAGGAACATGAAGTCCCAAACTCAACAAGCAGTCATTCAGCATTTGTTGAATTGTGACTAGAACGTTAATTTTCACATTCGTTTTCGACTTCGCGTTTATTCTCTATATTGGAAATAGTTATTGAGTCTCCGTTCCTGTTCCATATATCTGTTTCATCACTGCCATGCGGTGCGTTTGTTTGTCGTTTGTTCTCTATTCTACCACTTGTTATTGTGTGAAGTTTGGTTTGGGTATTTAGTCTCGAATCGGCCGTAGTCTGAGTACGAGGATTTATAGATTTTGCTTCCGTTTGTGTGTGTGCGTGCGTTCACCCGTCCTTCCATATTACACATGCTTCGACCGATTAAATTCACACACACACACATCATAGTCTATCATGCATTATACTGCAGTGGACACATGCAAAAGAATTTGTTTCATGATTTAATTCAAGCTGGCGAATGGCTGCCATTTTATGGCCAAAACTCCACTTAAATCACGTCTCCGAACAGTCATTTTATGCAGGTCATTTTATTTTTCGGATCGCGTTCAAAATGGCCCACTGGCGGCCATTTTGTTTTGAGGAATTTACATTACACATAGACTAGCACGATCTATGTTAGCAAAATAAAAGACTATTTATTATCACAAAGCTTTGCAGCTGGAAATCATTATATTAAACTAGTACTGTTTCAGTCTTCTTCTACCGATGTCTACGTAAACAATGAATAATCTAATATCAGCACTGATTTGTAGAACATCGCGAGAATGATAAAAATGCTCGTTATACGTATTAGTTAGCGAAGTTGATACGTAATATGGATACTTTTTACATTTAATATAATTACAAACCCAAATGACTGAGTTTTCTAAGAATGCCAGTCTATCAGCCAGTGTATTCAGGCAAGGTCAACTAACGAAAACATTGTAGACAAACGGCATATATTGATTAACCTGATTGCCCAGATCCTCGTAGACAAATTGACGGTAATAACAATATTTGTTGATAATGTATATTACGTTTGAAATTGATTGGGTTAATAGATACATTGCACTCAATTAATGATGTCTCTGTGGTGATTTTGATGGGCGCACAATCAGTGAAAACATGGATAAACAAAGATAGGGATAGACGGTAATTATAGAGACATGTGCTTGGTTAAGGTGGGTCGAAGCTTTATTTGAATCAATCAATGCAATACAAAGGTTTCGAATGCCTCGTATTTGCAATTATCTTCAGATCGATCGGGGATATAGAGTTTACATTCACCTTTATCAAGACAACCGTTAATAATTGATCAATTCGCGGTGAGATACGCGTAGTACCCCCGAAGGCACCCCGTATGGGGGTTTACATGTATAGATGTATACTCTGATGACGTCATTGCAATTCATTTACGCGTAAATAAACAACTCAAATTCACGTTAGTTTAGATTCAATACAGTATGCGATGACTTTACATGAATAAATTTCTCCAATACTCAGGCAACTGATCAAATCATAGCCTAAGCAGGAACAAATATAGTTCGCTGTTTTTTTTATCATCGTATTCTTGTCGATATACTCTGCGTGGAAATTATTATGTCTTTGTACACCGGCAAATATGACATCACGAATAAGCGCGATAAATCGCACGTATCCAAACAGAAACGGTCACTGATGGCGCTGTATCGCGCTAAAGTAACTATGCGGAGCTAGTCGCCGTGGCCGCGATTTCATGTCAATGAAACACAAGTTTACAAGCGAATATTGTATTCATTTGCTTATTAGTGATAGAAATTACCAATGTTATTCCATGGCAAATGACCGCGTAATCTGCAGCAGCACATATGTAATAATGAATATTCATGTATTCATGTCTGTCGGTCTACTGACACACACACATATTGCGTCTTTGGGCGATTATAACTATGATAATGGTATACCAATTACGAAACACTTTTGTTAAAAGTAAATACATCGAAAGTGGTTAAAATAATTAGTGGGACAATTCTAATCCTTTTTGCGAGGTGACTACACAGCAATTTTCATGAATGGCTCAACTATCTCGTCAACAGATGTTTGAATTCGTCTGCATGTGGTGTATAATTCAAATTTAAATGTAACTATTACCCCCTTTCCATGTTAATTCCAGACATATGATGTAATTAGGAAATAGCATTAATACCGTGAGAAATCTGTCATGCCTGAATGAGACAGGGTGGTCCTAGTTCCAAACTATAGAAACGTATTTGTAATAAATGACAGATGGCATTGCATTCTCTCCGTATAAACCGGCTCTTGGACACGGAACTACAGGGCTATGTTGTCTTAGCTATCGTTACATAGTACACAACACAGTAAAGACTATGACATGGTGTACTTGTCTCCCAGTGGATAGTATTAAATTGATTTTCTTTTCTTTGTGATTCTTTGAACGGAAATTCTCTTTGATACTTAGATGTGTTAGATGAATAACGACACATAACTCACTAATAGTAATCTTGTTATTTAGGAATTTGTGCCATGCATATCAACAGAAAACTCGACAAAAAAACTAGTGGGCTAGACCATGTTATTAAGTAAATGAACTGTAAAATAATTATACCTGAACATAATATGATTACTTACGACGCACAAGAAACAAAATAAAAAGTATTCGAGTTGTAATCAGTACCATAGACCCAAACGTCATCTGATTTCAACTTTCATAAAATGTATGCAACATACAGGGGAATGTACGTTGCCATGTTAATCCAAAATTGTTATTTAATATGTTATGGGTAGGTTTTCCCGAGTATTGCACAGCGAACATGTCCACTGTTCTATGTAACAACTGAATATTCAGTGCACATACACATAACATTCATGCCCGGTCAGTCTAATGAACAGCGTGGCGTAAACTTTTATTCATGCTTTGAATTTTGAATATTTCTACTCGTTGCCAAAATACAATCGATCGATTCATTGAAATGTGACATGTTTATTTACTGCCCAGATAATTTAACATATTTCGCGTGTCATTTTCGTAGCTTTTGTAACCGCAGATTCAAGGACGAATAAGGTTTTATAAATAGTTAATCTCAGCAAGAATTGAGTTTACTATAAAACATTGATTAGGATGCCGTACAAGGTCATCGGAGCGTGTAACAGGATAAAATGTGTCTAACTTAACACATGACACAAATCAGTCTTAACTCGTCAATTTCAATATGAGGTTTTCAAATTTATTTACAGATTGGCTTGGATGGTTGGCTTGACAACCATGTGAATAAACCGCGTATTGGTATAAGGACAGATGTTCCGCCTTTTGGAACACCACTGATATCTATTAAGCCGGACAACCATCGTCGTTATGGTTACCAAGGAGTGGCATTGTTCAATCAACCGCGCGTTGAACGAATTTTAAGAGACAACTTAAAACGCTACAACAATGTACGAGTGTACCTTGGTTTTGAGGTAGGTGCGATATTTTGTAATATTATTATT